ACAAAGTAAGCAATTAGAGTATAAATGTCAATTTAGAAACGAAAGTGTGTACCTAGGAGTCTTTACGACCCAAAGCACATATTTCACCTTTGTTAAATTGCAGAGCCTATCAAATAATGTTTGGAAAAAACGTGACATATTGCACAGAATCTAATACTTTAATAACAAAAAGTTTCACCGCAATTTAATATACAAATAGATGCTATGAACTTTGATCTAGTAATCTAAGAAACAATACGAATTTTCTCACTTCATATGGCATATCAACCACGTTTATTGAAATCTATAAGTTATAGCCGTAAAATTATTAAAGGGGTAAAATTGAAAGAAAATTAGGAAGAGACATGTAGCAAATCTACTTTACATTATCGTAAATCAAGTGATAAAATCAATCAGAAATCTTTTGTTTTCGGTTCATTAATGTTAAAGGAGATTCAAAGTTGTGTTATGTTTGCTTGTAAAAACACATACACAATAAACAGTAAAGAAGTCCTAATTAAGACTGAATTAAATGCTGTCAGGATTGATGCTAATTAATCGATCTTTTAATCTGATTAATCTGTGTAGCAGATACAATGAGGTAATAATTTTAAAACTGATTGACAGGTGTCATTTACATATCTGTAGCCAGTGTTGTTTACAAAACAATATCTGTATTGTCCGCTTGCTTGGGGTGTATTCCATGTTTTAAAAGATTAACTTGAGAAAAAGTCAGGATTTCTATTACTACTTTTTATTTAGAAATACAGTTATGATTTAAGGAATAGTTCTGTTTTATTTAAACTCGGTGTTATACAGTGGTCCTATACATATCCGATTCATATACATACATGAATTGTCTCCATCTTATGAATAGAGTTTCCTTGAAATTTTCGCGATCGTTTTATTTTCGCGTTTCAATTCTTACCGCGAAAATAGCGAAAATAAAACTGCCGCGAAAATTTCCCGGTTTACATTATTGAGTCTATCTTATTAAACTAACGTAACCGAAATAAGATTCGGAACAGACACATTTACAAAATGTAACTTTTGCCAGTTTTTCTTTCCAGTTTGTATTGTTTTACAAGTGTTAACAGTTCACCTCTTTGGTAAGAATTATCTTATTTTTTTTTATTATGACAACTACACTTAGTCTAGTAAAAATCAACGACAAGACAAAAATACTGATTTGGCAAGTTTTGCTGTTCAAAGATTCCCCAAAATCACTGGTACCATCGAAAAAACAGCCAACTATATTCTGGTTCCTATCAAACAAATCGGTAACTGGCGACTCCATAATTTTTTTCCATGATTATAAACACATATTCCAATTTAAAGAAGTCTTAAAACAAATGATAATAAACGAGATTGACCAACAGATTACATCATTAGATTAAGCTCGAAGGAAGGGAATGCCGTAAATCAAATAACCGTTTAAGTTATAGTTTATTATATTCAGACTGACGGATTAATATAAATATTTAAAAAAGATTACCCACACATATTTAAGACAGCTCACTATTGTGTACCACATTTATTTCGGTATTACAAAAAGATAAATTCAAATACTGCACTAAAAGTTCGTGCAGAGTAATAATGATACTCACTAGAACGTTTAAGCTGAAATTAAAAATGAATACGTTTTTAATATTTTTCTTGCTTTTGTACTCAGACTATGGCATTATAATATATTATAAAACAAAAAATAATTTAAAAATTAGACATAGATTATGCATACCCTTCCGTTGCACCTGAGATCACCCTTTTGGTAGGGGTTAGTGTTGCTCAGTCTTTATTTTTCGATGTTGTGTTTAGTGTACTTCTGTTTGACTGTGTGTCTATTTCTTTTTCTTGTCATTAAGTTTAAATGTCCCTTTGGTATCTTTCGCCTCTCTTAAGCACTGATTTCTATAAAGGTTTCTTGTTCGAAAGACGAAAAAAACAATTTCAACAGAGTTAGACTTTTATATATCTTTATGAATGCAGATCAAATTACTTTTGTCAATTTGACTATCAGTTTATTAAAGACGTTCTTCTTTCATAAAGACAATAATATGTTACACAAAAAAACGCAATGATTCGTAAAACGACTAAACTTATAAGAATGAGAAAGCATCGTGTGATATCTTTGTGAATGCAGTTCAAATTAACTTTTGTAAATATCTCTAAAAGTTTTTAAAAGAGTATCTTCTTCAACTAATTCACCCGCAAACCAGATTAAGTTTTAAAAATTTTAACACAGCATACAGTTATGCAGAATATAAATAGAGTGGCAATACAAACAAATGCTTAAATATTATGATAAAATTTATATGTTGGTATAGATATGTGAGATATCTGTGTGGATGCAGTGTGAACTAACTATTTTCAATATTACTGTACGTTTAAACGATTCTCTATTATCTACAGCAAACTTATCTGCGAGGCGAATTATGTTTTAAACACCAAATCAGCCATATTGTAAATTGTAAATGACCAGATGAACAGATGAAATACCCCTATAAATAAACGGAAATGTAATAATAGATAAATAAACATTCTCTAAGTATTCATTGGTTAGAAATGAGGTGTATTTATAAATATCGTTCAACTAAAAAGCTTAATAAGAAAAGCAATTCATTTTCAATAAAGTTTCACGGCAAATATAGCGCCACTAACATAGCTATTAGGTCCGTACTAAGATTGAATGCAGTATTCTAAACGAAATTGCATGTACTTTTTGTTTGCTTAATAGGAAACAGTTCTTTCTTTTTATTTCTATCAGATGACGAAAGACAAAAGTTTATACATGAACTATTCTTAAAAGGTGAATGTGGAAAACTTCATTTTGTAAGACTTGCTTTCATTGGTGAAAATGGAGTAGGAAAAACCAGTTTAATGCGTAGATTACTGTGGCAAAATAAAGAAGCTGTCACTTCTTCAAAGAGTACAGACGGAATTGAAGTCGAGAAATGCAATATCAATATAACGGATGGGAAATGGAGCCCATGTGGTAGTAAGTAGCCTTTCGTTGATTTAGTTGTATGTTTTATTCATTCTATTCCAATTAGATCTGTATTCCTGATTCATTGAAATCAATAATACAGTTTCGGAAACAATATACTGTTGTTTTCATTTTAACATTTTAATTTGATTTCGGTTTTTGAACAATTGCTATTAAATCATAAAAATGGATTTTGTATAAAAAAAACATATTCACCTGCAAACATGTGATATTCACCGCGCTGAATGTCAGTCGTTTACATGTAACGTAATGGTAAAATGATTGATATACAATTGGTTTTGGTAAATATTTGACATTAAATACATTGTTTTCTTTTGGAAAATGGAATGAAACAATAACTGTCGGTAATTGACTTTTGAAAAAATGATATTCACTTCGACCGTTGGCCTTAGTGAATATCAGTTTTTTTTCAAAAGTTAATGAAACCAAATATTTACCTCATCAAAATACAATAATTGTATGATATCAATCTACATCATGTGATGTCCACAAACAATAACTTTTGACCTGTAAAATGAGTTCTAAGCCGTACGACAGTAACTTAAGATGTTTTCTATTTACCAACTTATTTTTTATATTTATATTTAAATCATTATGTCGTTATCTCAACATGCTTAATGCATTTGGATATATATCGTATTTATTGTATTAATTTGTTTTGTCAAATGTGCACTAAATGAACAAACTATATAAGGGGATATGATGTTTATTACTAATATGAATTGATATAATTTGATTTTTCGTATTTTGTTATTTTTTTCAAATTTCATAGTGCTAATTCTTGTAAATGAGATCACTTGCACATGATGTCTTTTGTCTTTCTATTAAAACTCAGATACAGTGATTGAAAATTAGAAGCTTTTGTACGTCAGCATTTTTTTATATACCTTCAATATTACCAATTCCAGTATACAATAACTATTATATTTTTGGCTTTTTTAAAAGTTGCTGATATTTTCATGTACTAGGTTTTAAATCATAATCTTTGGTACGTAAGGATTAAAAAAATGATTGGAAATTGTACACTTTTACATGTTGGATTACTAATGTAGTTTCATAAAAGATTTTAGCAATGCAATGTATAAATACTAAACTTTTCGTTGCATCAGATAACCAGTATGTTAAATGCAGGTAACAGAGGTGACCAGATACTGAAATGTGTATCTGCATAATAATGATGTGCATATGTTTTCTAACCAAGCAAAGGCCGATATTTCAAAACAGTTATCATTTTCCTTTCATAATTTGTACAAGGTGGAATAATATTAGAACAATCTGTCAATTAAAGATGCAACAATACTTGAAACAAATGATCAGAAGTTTCTATAAAAAGTTCCAATGTTTGCTGGGGGAGGATAACGCTGCAAATTAATAACGACAACAGTTAATCGGCGTTGTTGTTTTATAATTTCAAGATAAAGCAAACAACAACATTGTGTATTGCATATATATTCCTGTTTGTTTGTACTTCCTGCAATAGAGTCATCTTTACTCTACAAAGAAGAAAGTTATAAACAAAAAGGTATACAATTTACTATAGGTTGACATGTCTATTCATCTTCTTTCTTTTTTTATGCAAACAGAGAAAGACGATGATCTTACCAGATTAATTCAGGAAGTGTATAAAGGGAGGAATCAGCATTTTGAAAAAGTAGCAGCTGAAAATGATGTCGATCAAGTGGCTTCTGGATTCAACACAGATGAATCAAGTAGTGAATCAGACAAAAATATTTTCACAAATTCTGATGACAGAGATGCTAAACACATATTTGACGAGAATATTGACTACACAGCAGATTTTGACATCAATGGAGCAAATCTTCATTCTTTTATATCCGAAAAAGTAGACAATAAAGAAACAGTATGGACCGATTTCAATCAGACACGACCATTAATTATTGATTTTGAAAAAATATATGACAGTAACAAAAACAGCAATGAACCTGAAACTTATTCTTACCCTGTTAACGATGAGAATATAAAAAAAATGACCTCTAAAATTATAAAATCTCTTCCAATGAGGAAAAAGGATCAGGATGACATAAAGGCGTTCTGTTGGTTATGGGATTTCGCTGGCCAGAAGGATTTTTATGCTACACATCAAGTCTTCATGTCAAAATGTGCAGTTTATTTGCTGGTAACAGATAGTTTAAAGTTCAGCACTGCTGAGAAGCCAGGGGTCAATTTTGAAGATTCGGCACGTAAGTTTTTCTTCAATTTATAGACACAACCTCAATATTTAGCTTCCATGTGTTTATTAATTCGATTATCTTTTCATGGATAAATGTTATGCTGATACTGAGTACTTTCCGCGAACAAATTCTTATGATGAAATGATGATCTACAATGGACTTTCATGAAATAGTCAAGTATGAAATCGAATTATTGATCAATTTAACAATTTATTTTGTTCACAGAAAGACAGCTTTGACCTCTTATGTGTATAGAACTATATTGATTATACCATGTCAGATAGATTATTGGATTGTGAATGTGCTTCTGTTTCGCATGCCTGTATTATTAATGAAATATTCAAATTCTTGATTACATGTTCTATAGATTTTGCAAATGACCTATTACAAAATATAGAAAAAATATTATGATTCAAATACAAACGTTAGTAATTTGTTGTTATACTTATACTTGTTAAAGTTACTGCTAGTATTGTATACCTCCGAATACACATTCTCTTTACAGAGTATGTTAGGTTCTGGTTTGACGTTATTCATTGTTACTGGTCCACTAGAGTGAAAGGCCGATTAGACCCCCCAATCATAGTTGTATGTACAAACGAAGACAAATTTAAGGTAAATTGTGAGTTCATGATATTTTAATACATACACAAGGTAGAACTTACTTGGGCAAATAAGAGTCTATAATAAATATAAGAAGATGTGGTATGAGTGCCAATGAGACAACTCTCCATCCAAGTCAAAATTTATAAAAGTAAACCATTATAGGTCAAAGTACGAATATATGAGATAAACATCGCTATGACCTAGATAAAAACACGAATGTAAAACTGAGAACAGAACATTAGAAATTTAGAATATCAATGCGGGAGTTATCTTTTATAATGCCTAACAAATAGTAGAAGTTGCAGCACTAGTGACTCTATGTACATAGTTGCCTTGATGAACGTAATTAGCAATTAAGGCTTTACATATAAATAAAACCAGATTAGTTAATGCTTGATTTCTAAATAAAGATATTTGTTAATTAAAAACCACCAAGACGTGTAACCATCATGACCATTAAAGATGATTGATATTTCAAATGAAAAAAAAACTGTATTAAAACCTGGACTTCATTTGTATTACTTGAAAACCAAATTCCTAGTAAATTAAAACAGTTAAGACCTATTACTATCGAACTGTTATTCTGAAGTTGAACTAACTTTGCATAATGAGGAAACACATATAAGAGCAAACTGAATCTGATAAAACCTACTGGCATTGACTTACTGGAAGCATTTTAGGAGAGATGGCAAATCTTTGAATCAAACTGTTTGTTACTTCTTGTAACCTATCTAAGGTAGTATATGTTATAAGTCAACTATTGTCACCCTAAATAAACAATTAGTGAAGACCGATAATTCTTTCTTTAATTGTCGTAGTCCAACTGTATAGTTTTGTCGCCATCAGAAATGTATGTCGAAGGGAAGAATAAATATTTTGACTCAAATTTGTTAAAAAAGTCTACTAACATGTACTGAAGCATGTTCAGATCGTTTAAATATTTTACATGTTTAGCTTCGATCATATAATGAATAATTTAACACATTTGAAATAAGAATCGCAATGTTCATCTAAGTTTCAAATTAGAACATGAAAAATTCGTTAACAAAAGAGTTGAAATAAATGTTTAATTTAAACGGTACGACTTTATCATGTGTAAATCCTGTTGGATGATTACTTTTAAGTCTTAATTCAAATTATAAAGTTTCGAAAAAGTAATTTAATTGATCAAACAATTTATGTTGTTGAAAAAGCTTGTTGTCCCTTTATCTTCTGCATGCTGTCGATGATTAAACCTTGACATAATATGTTTGTGCAATTTGTTGATATTTTAGTCATAGAAAACATGGTGGATTTGTTAATCAAAATTTGCATTTAAACATGTTTAACGCGTTTACAGTAAGTGTAAGCTCTCTCTTAACTGTACTATGTGAAGCTGTCTTTTCGTTTTGTTTCGTTTTATTGTTCAACTTGAACGACGAAAGATACTGGTTACACACTTCAATAATTGTTTATTCATGTCGGTTTGTTTTGTTCACACATTGTTGTACATATAATGTAATTTTACGCGATTGCAATACAAGTGCGATGTTTAGCTAGCTATAAAATCGGGTCTTATCTAGGATTTTCATCTTAAGGAAATGCCTGTTCCAAATTATGAATATGACAGTTGTTTTCCATTCGTTTAATGCGTTTGAGCTTTTGATGTTGCCATTTGTTAAGGGAGTTTCCGTTTTGATTTTTCCTTGGAAATAGGAGGTCGGTATTTTTGTTAGTTTACTTTTTTTTAAATTTTATTAGATATATCAGGATGTATAAGGATCGCTGTTTGACTCATAATAGGTAATTAACAATACACATTGATTTGCGGTTTATAAATATTGTGCAATCTTACATGTTTGTCATTATTTTGTCAATTCATTATCCGGAGATCTCTACCCTCCCCTTTACCTCTAGTCAATGTAGAATAAACAAACCCACAGCAATACGCACAGTAAAACGCAGTTTAAAAGAAATCCGAGTCCAATGTCAGAATAGGTAACAAAAGAAATTAGGCAAAATGACAATGATCCATAGATAAACAAAGGACTACTACCAGATACTGACATGCCAGCTCCAGATCTCAATCAAACTGATTGAAAGATTATGTCTTCATCAGACGAAAATCAAGCAAAATCCCTCCCGTTAGGGATTTAGTATCATACCATCATAAAATATACGAGAAGAACATAACACGTTTCTTTCAAAAAACTGGTTTTAGAATAAATGTGTTTATTTCCGATGCAAAGACCCTATGAGTGAATCAATATAAATACCAAAATATGCGATCTTTAATGACCTGACAACAGTATGGTAACTATATCCCTTCTGAATAAGTCTGTTTAAACGTTTGGTTAGCATTTGGTGTGAATGACGACATTGTTGTGCTTTGTATAGAATATTACCACAAAAGATTGGATGTGAAATACCTGAACGTATAAGATGTTTGCATGTTGATTTACGAATGATGTCCTTGAAACGATTAAGTAAATGTTTTGACTAATGTGTGATATCGAAAACCCTAGTGTAATAATTTTGCAGTAATACAGAGATATTTTCTTGTTAGTCTTATTGTGTTTAAATTTCATCTTTAATAAAAATGGAGATATATATATATATGTTGTACGACTCTGCCCCCCGCAGAGCTATAGAAAAACAATACATTCACGAGTGTTACACGGACACTTTTTAGTTGTTACACGGACACTTTTTATGAATAGACTCACTCGTGCATGAATAGTGAGTTCATGGGCACTTAAAATTTCAATTAGATTTGAAATTTTTGTTTCACTGACATATTTCTTGTATTTTTTATTAAACTATTTACGTTAGCATCAATAACTATATTTTTTTCAAACAATTCCAGTATATTACTATTCATATCAGTATATTAAGGGATCGAACCTTTAACTTCAAAAGGGGGGTAATGGTTTATTCTTAAAAAAATATTCTGATCCCCAATTTTATGAGAAAAAATATATTGTGGTCAAGAAGATGAGAAAATAATGTTCTGATTCCTGATTTTCCGAATACCGTGTATAATAGTGCTAATTTCGAAAAAACATATATGGGTATTAGCGTTGAAAAACTAAATAATTTATTTTCTTACTCAGGAAAATACATACCCGTGAAGCTAAATGGTCGGTCCGTAAATGTATTTTTTTTTTCAATATATGGACATGAATAGTATTCTGGACAATGTTGAAAGTAAAGAAATGCTGCTACCGACGTTGATATTTAAATAAGAAAGACAGGAAATATATATAAAAAAATCAAATCTAATCAAATGTTAAAATCCCTATCAACTCACCAATCCACGATTGATCCTATAAATAAAAAGTGTCCGTGTAATACATGTTAAAAGGCAGCAAATCTTGAAGAAAATCATTCAACTTATGTCACCAATTTTGGACGGTAAGCTGCGATTGGATCATATTGTGACACGTGTGTAATGCTGATCAACATTATCAGAGACATATAAAAACCTACAAGCATGAATATTTTGTTTTAAATCCAAAATATATGCCTATCTAAATTATATCTAATAACAAGACAAAATCCATTTTTTCATAACATTTCATTCACTAATGAAATAGGAAATTCATTCTTTTGATACATTTTTATTGTTATTGAATTCATATATCTTGCATTCATATATTTTGGAGCAAATGTACGATTTTTATTATTTTTTTTAAGGGAGAATTGGGGGCTGGAATGGCACATCCCGCATTTTTTCAACAAAAAAAGGATCAAGCATGTTTATTTAAAATTTATTTAACCCCCTCCCTCCCTTTTCCGTTTTTTCCCAAAAAAAATATGTTAGCTTGCTTACCTCTGAAATCTTTTTCATACATTACTTACTTGCAAAGTTGCATTTTAAAAAGTCTCAAATGTGTACGACATTCATCTTTTACTTGACATGGTTCTTTTTTATAAACTATTAGATTCTTGAATTTCTTGAAAAAAAACTCTGGGCTGAAGGGAAGTGAAAAAAAAGTGTGTTTAAACTGTAAAAGAGGGACGAAAGATACCAGAGGGACAGTCAAACTCATAGATCGAAAACAAACTGACAACGCCATGACCAAAAATAAAAAGACAAACAGACAAATAATAGTACAGATGACGCAACATAGAAAACTAAAGACTAAGCAACAAGAACCCCACCAAAAACTGGGGGTGATCTCAGGTGCTCCGGAAGGGTAAGCAGATCCTGCTCCACATGTGGCACCTGTCGTGTTGCTTATGTTATTACAAATCCGGTAAATAGTCTAATTCGGTAGGTCATATTCGTGAAAAGGGAAGGGTATTGTAGTTACGACATAAGGAACATATCCGATATCATCTGCGAAACGGTTATTCCATAACGGTCTACCAACTCGTGATGGCGTCCGTAAAATTTACGAAGGGATGATTTCAAATTCACCATTTGGAACTCTTGGTTTAATAGCTTCCCTGTGAGCAGCAATCCTCTATCAAGGAAATTATGATAGGAAATACAAGCCCGGGAATATCGTATCAATTGGGAGATTTATACTTCGTATGCAGGCGCTGCTGGAATGTTGCTACATAGAAATGGAAAGTTAATAATTGGGAAGCTGAAATTATCTCTTTTGTCGTAAAGTTTTGTTTTCAACCGACCCTCATTGTCAATGTCTAGATGTAAGTCAAGATATGAGGCAGACTTAACTGTATCTGTAGTATCCTTTATCTCTAGTTCGATGGGATAGATTCGTTCAACATAGTCACCAAATTTTGTATTATGTAGTGAGAGAACATCATCTATATAGCGGAACGTAAAGTTAAAGGATGTTTCTAACTTCTTATCTTTCTTCCTAAGAAGTTCTTGTATGAAGTCAGCCGATTAATAATAAAGAAACAAGTCGGCAAGAAGAGGGGCACAATTGGTTCCCATTGGAATTCCGACAGTCTGTTGAAAAACACATTAACTTACATTAACTGGTATATGTCCATTTAGGTTTCTAATCTGTTTAATTTTGATACCTCTTCTAAATGCAAAATGTACTAATTCTTTCTTGAAACGTCGTACAAGTCAGATACAATACAAAGGTAACGAAGAAACAGGCCGGTAACAACCGTTGCCGTATAGTTTTTCTGCACTTGTAGTCAGGTCAAGGTCCTCGGCTATCGCCTCGGACCTTCACCTGACTACTCGTGCAGAAAAACTATCCGGCACAGTTGTTACCGGCCTATTTCTTTGTCACCTTTGTTTTGTATCTAATACATGAATATATTTATCTAGTTGGACACAGGAAGTTCAGAGAAAAATATTTTAATAGTGTTATATCTCAATTATATTTTTCATACATTTTACTCTTAAAAAAACAAAGTTATAAAAATTATCGTTGTAATGCTTTGATTTAATTTTAGTTATGATTTAATTTCGATCTATGGACAATTATCATCAAACCAAGCAGTAGAGAAAAGGAGATTAAAGTATTCAATTTCAAATCAATATTGCACTTTATCTTTATTTTTTTATTTTCAATTTCACAATATTTAGTAATACTTGAGTTGCACCGTTATAATAATCACGCATTGATACAGCGGAACGTGATGTTAAGGAAATATTAGCTAGTTTCTTTTGATTTTTCCCGGGAGGCACTTGCATTAAGTCTAACTTATGTGAAAAAATGAACAATTCTATAAAAAAATATATAAGAATGGTTTATATTTTACTCAGAGAAAACATGGTAGATTTGTTAATCAAAATTTGCTTTTAAACATGTTTAACGCGTTTTCAGTAAGTGCAAGCAATCTCTTAACTGTACTATGTGAAGCTGTCTTTTCGTGTTGTTTCGTTTTGTAGATTCTGGCTGGTGTCGTTGTTTGTCGTCTTGGTGACGTGTTAAAGTGTTCTTTTGTTTGCCTTAAAGTTTGTAGTTTATTGCTTTTGCTGTTTGGCCTGTTTTTGGCAGTGTCCGTTTGGCGTGGCTCGGTAATTGTACATCCCGTCGTTGTGTTGGTGTGCTATGGTAAATATTTGTATTCTAGTCTATCGTTTTTGCTAATGTGCTTTGTCTATATGCCTTTTTGTTTGTCTTTGTTGACATATTTGCTTGTTTTTGTAGTGATTCATTTGACGTGGCTCGGTACTTGTACATAAGAAAATGTCTGTACCAAGTCAGGAATATGCCAGTTGTTACCCATTCGTTTGATATGTTTGAGCTTTTGATTTTACCATTTGCTTTAGAATTTTCCTCGAAGTTCGGTATTTTTGTTATTTTACTTTTTATATAAGAAAATAATTGGTTTGTCCTTTTAATGTAATCAGTAAACATTTGTTTTGTTTGAAACAGAGGGATTTAAGGTTTTATAGGGTATGATTTAATCCTTCTTAAAACAAGACATTTGTACCAGCGTTCAACTATATCATAATTTTTTTATGCAACAAATAAAATTGAGAATGGAAATGGGGAATGTGTCAAAAAGACAACAACCCGACCATAGAGCAGAAAACAGCCGAAGGCCGCCAACGGGTCTTCAGCACAGCGAGAACATCTCGCACCCGGAGGCGGGCTTCAACATTTCTGTCGATCTTATGTTATAATTAGGAATACTAGTGTAAACGGAAAAGATAAAATATGCTTCAAACTCCTACATGATAACAGATATTCATATCTAAAAATAATTTCCGGTTCTTGCTAATGGAAACTGATCACTAGATCGAACGCAATTTATGGAAGCCACAGCTGCCTTATGATAACAATAATCATATCATTAAGGGTCGAGATTTATCATGAAGCATATTTTCTATACTATTACGACATTTGACTATATTACTCTGTCAATTTGCTCTATCACTAAGATAAATTGTTTTGATATAACATGGAGTTACCTTTTATACTTTTCTGTCATTTTACTTTGTCATGAAAATATTCTTGTATACTATGAAGACATCTTGATATACCATGGATCTTTGTAAGTGATTTTCAAGTGATTTTCCCAAATGATCCTATTTTAAACTATGTTTACACGGGTAACTGCACGGACGTCATCCACAGCAACTGGCAGACAATCGTCAGTGGTTGAGAGAAATATACAAAATAATTATACCTATGTGGCTGCATATGTATTTGTTTAATTGTAAATGATATCTATTTTAAAAAAAACTTTGTCGGGTGTCTTATATTGGCGTAAAAGCTTGAATAAATCAAACACAAACTTACAAGTTCGTTTGAAACAGCTTACACTAAATGCATACAGTAAAGAATATAAGTCTAAATCGCTGGAGGCTTTTTTTCGAGGGATGATTATATACATATGAAAATTTACAAGAAAAACAAATTATCATTTAAATCATTTAGTCAGACATATATATATATATATTCATCCTATTTCGACTCTTCAAAATTCAAGAGTCTATCCTAAATTGAGGTAAATTATATGGTCTTCCAAATACCGTTTCGATTGCTAACATCACTGAAGAGACATTAATTGTCGAAATCCAGATATGGTGTACAAATTCTTTGCACCTCATGTCTGCGATAAGTTTATTATTTTCTGTTTGGTATTAAATTAATAATAAAGATCCATTTTGTTACATCCTGTGATCCGTGTATTTGGCAATCGCCAATGGCAGTCAGCAGGGTTTAAGAACATCCGTTTTTCGATCTATTAGTCAAATCTGTTTTGTTTAATTATACTTTTTCACTTTTTTGGTCTTTTTGAAAATGTTGTTTGTGCTGTATTTAGACCCCTCTACGAAGAAATTTGTTTGCATGCACACGTATAAAAATTGCGGTTTTAATCCAACGTTTTTATCCATCGCAATCATAGGTTTGAACGTTGTTTTCAATTTAGACGTATATATATATATATTTATATAAACAAGTCTAAATTGAAAACAACGTTCAAACCTATGATTGCGTTGGATAAAATCCGCAATTTTTATACGTGTGCATGCCAAACAAATTTCTTGGTAGAGGGGTCTAAATACAGCACAAACAACATTATCCAAAAAAACAAAAAAGTGAAACATTTTATTTTAACAAAACGCATTTGACAAGCAGGTCGAACAACGGATGTTCTTAAACCCTGCTGACTGCCAACACGTGTATTTACGTGTACTTTGATTTAGAAAATCCCATATAAATTGAAATGAGTAAATTTTGTGCCAACATTTAATCCTCGATATTAAAAAAGATATACGCATAAAATGTGTTGCAGGAACCTTTAGAACGACAAAAACGACAGAAAGAATTTAAAGACAATTTGAGGCAAGTTCTGAAAGAACAGAAAAAGAAATTACACTTGAGAAACATTTATTTTGTTTCTAATACCGAGGATGCTGATGTTGTCTTTGAAGAGATTAGAATTGAAATTTCACGTCATGCTATGAATATGCAAGATTGGGGTAAAGACTGTCCATTTAAATGGCTCTTGTTTCAACAAGTCTTACTAAAGATGAAAGATAGTGATGTACCGATTTCATCAACTGAAACATTGCTTAAAATTGCAAAATTTGAAGATATTGGCTTTAGCAAGGATGATGATGTCAAACAATGCTTGCAATACTGTCATGACATTGGAACAGTTGTGTACTTTGATGGGGACAAAATAGGAGATCCTGTTATTTTGGACCCTAAATGGTTGGTTAATGCATTTCGATGTCTTGTTTCTGATAAGATTGAAAATGTTATCAAAGTTTCAGATGACTGGCAAAAACTGACAGAAACTGGAGAATTGACTTATTCACTAATATGCCGCCTATTTATGAAGGAACCGAAACTTAAGTGTTTAGAGAACAAAACACATTTGATTGAAGTCATGAAACGGTTCGATATAATTGTTAAATTGAAGAATTCAACTGCATTATACATGCCATGCATGATGGATGCCTGCTCTTTTGCAGAAGTTGAGAAACATTTTATGGACGGGAATCAATCTTTTTATAAGACTAGTTGGTTATGTTTAGAGTTTGATTTTCTTCCTCCAGCTTTTTTCAATCACATTCTGGCATGGTATATTAGTCAGTATTTCGTGAGTGATATATTAGTTCAAGAGACTCGTTCCAAAAGGAATGCATTATATCGCCATATTGGTGTATTTAATTTAGATTCCACTGGATGTGAAAGCACCGAATCTAATAGCTCTTCAGGTTTGGAATTTTCGAACGCCAGATGGTATAGAAAGGGATTTGGGATCCAGACTTTTTGAATTTGTGAATAAACTAAGTAGCCGCTACAGACTGCATATTTCTTATATAAAAGCATTCAAATGTAAACACGGCGACTTTTCAATAGACCGAAAGAAGATGGAAGAGATACTCGCTGAAGATTACTTTTGTTTAGAACATAAGCAAGTTCATAAATCAACCGATCTAGTAGCGCCTTGGAATTTAGATAAAAAATTATAGTAAGTACAATATGTTATGTTTTTTTTTTTGTTATTTTGTTTTGTTTTGTGAAAACCAATATAGTACAATAACAGAAAAAAATGTTATTCTAAGTAATACACATGTAGTTAGTACAAACAAGCAAAATGTTTAGTTTGTGTCCTAAATTTTGACTGTGTAACATCCTGTCATGAGGTCCTATAACATGTATAACAAAATGTCTATTTGCGTTGAAAACTCTACGATGCAATTAAGTTAACATTAAACATCATCTAAAAGTGATACTTAACGCATGCATTGTAACAGTCACACACTTAATATTCCCTTTTTATCCAGTTTATTTTTGGTATTTTGTAATCTTTGAAAAGCCAATTAAGCGTTTGAAGGATATATTCGTTCTCAGTAAAACATGACAATTGTGGTGTTCGAGTGGTCTTAGTAGTCGAACTGCTGTATCACTAGCCAATCAATACTGAAATTTGTGAGTTCGAATCCCGCACGTGACAGGTGTGATCGACCACCATGAAATAGCAGATTAGTGCTGAAAGTGGCGTTAAATACCAACCAATCAATCAATCAATCAATCTAAAAAGCTACAGTTGCAACCATCTGTATACATGATTTAGTTGAAATGTGTCTGAAAACATGAATTTAATCGTAAAGCATGACCCACATGCACTTGTCTCAGAAAAAAAAAATACGAGTTTTTATTTTTAGAATCAATTTTTCCCATTCAATCAACGTCATTCAGACTCTCTCTGGACTTTACAATTAAAATGAGATAACTCCAACAAACATTTACTTTTAGCAATAGACCTTCCTAAAAATTTTGACCAATCAGAAACCGATATATAAATAAGAGAGGAGCAGATACCAAAGGGACAATTATAATTAAGCATTTACTGCGAGTCTTATATTTCCAATCGGTTGTTGGTAGACAAAATACATGCTATAACGGTTGACATACTTGTGGAGGCCTGTTACGAATGATTCCGACAACAAAGGTAGGCGTGTTAAACAATATTGTGTACATAAATCAGTTTAGTTTTAGTGTGGTTGACAACCGTGAAATCGAAATATAATGGAAGTTTGCGACTGGGTGACATTTTTCAAAAATGCAAGTTAAGTACCTTGTGTTATATTAAGGTATATAGGGGGAAAATATTCCGAGACAAGTGCCTGTGACATGACCAGATTAGATGTTCTTAATCTCTCAAGGTTTGAAGTATGTAAACATGGTATATTGAATATCAATCCATGGTAATACATGGTAACAAGCTTCCATTGTCCGGTATTTAGCTACACTTTTTGCCCTTTTTTATTGGCTTTTCATTTTTCAATAAGGTTTGGATGTTCAAATATTTAGTCCATGACTGAAGAGACATTAATGGTCGAAAGGTTTTTCTGATGCAGAAAATGTGGTACCATAAATGTTATTTCAATATATATATATATATATATATATATATATATATATATATATATATATATATATATATATATATATATATATATATATGTAGGACTCTGAACCGCGATGGTGCTCCGAACCGCGATGGTCACGCTGATGTGCGATGGTTTGACGCTGAAGTGCGTTTTTAATCACGCTGAAGTGCGATGGTGGCATTGTGACGCTATCTTGTTGATAGCTACGCCGAAGTGCGATGGTGGTGACGCTGAAGTGCGATGGACTACATAAACTATATTTTCAATGCTTTCCATTTCGAAGTCAATTTGTTTGTTAGAAGCAGTTTTCGGGTTTTTAAGTTAATAAAGGGCTTATATAGATATAAGAAGATGTGGTATGAGTGCCAATGAGACAACTCTCCATCCAAGTCAAAATTTATAAAAGTAAACCATCATAGGTCAAAGTACGGTCTTCAACACGGAGCCTTGGCTCACACCGAACAGCAAGCTATAAAGGGCCCCAAAAATTACTAGTGTAAAACCATTCAAACGGGAAAACCAACGGTCTAATCTTTATAAAAAACGAGAAACGAGAATCACTTTTGAACCACATCAACAAACGACAACTTCTGAACATCAGATACCTGACTTAGGACAGGTGCAAACAATTGCAGCGGGTTTAAACGTTTTAATGGTACCAAACCTTCACTCTTATCTGAAACAATAGTGTAACATCACAACATAGAAAGATACACTATAAAATATCAATTGAAATGGCTTAACTCAACCAAAAGACATATTTACACCAGTGAATATACACTGAACAAATAAATTTGATCTATGATACAATGTAAATACAAAAAAAATAAACTTATACACCTTTAATACTTCGGGAAAAGGATTGTGATCGGGGGAGAGGGAAAAGTAAACCTTCTGTATCGGATTTTTTTTCGAAATCTACGAAAGTTTTTTCAAGCTACGTACGATGGAGCGTGGCATTCTCTAAATACATACGGCTCCGCAGACTCTCCTAATATAACGGTAAACGAGGATCTCGTGAGAGGAACAAAGTACAGATAAATGTTATCTCAGAATTAATTCCACATGCAGAAAATCAAAGAGGACTATCGTTCATTTTGTATGCAACTGTAACAAATGACATACATAGACAATAATGAATGCTAACCTATATACCAACTATACTGCTCATAATAATTGCACATCTGTAGATTTTAAACTAGCTATCACGCGTCATATAGACCATCGCACATCAGCGAACGGACCATCGCACTTCGGCGTAGACCATCGCACTTCAGTGTGACCATCGCACTTCAGCGTCCCCATCGTACCTCCGAGTCCTACATATATATATATATATATATATATATATATATATATATATAAGTCTGAAAATTACACCCAACAGTGCTAGAAATAGATTTTTCTGCTGACAAATTTTTGTCCGTCCCTCAGCGGGATTCGAACTCACACCTTTGATACACTACAGTACCAATCGCTTAGCCTCATGTCCAGCGCTCTAGACCACTCGACCACATCCGCTATATTAAAAATATAACTTCAATAGTCGTAGTGTTACCTTGTCACGGAAGGCGAATCTAGAGATAGACACAAGACACGTGTTTTAAGCGTGTGAAGATGTTATATTATCATTTTATACACAATGTATATTTATTTGTCAGCAATCTAACTCAACAATTATTATATACCGTATGGGATAATGAACCAATTCATTATACAGTCACTAGAAATAAGTATATCATACAAACAAGTCTAAACAAGTGACAACCATACAATATATATGCCCACTGGATCTCAGTGTGTTAGAGATACATGGTTAATACAAATATTTATATAAGTCTGAAAATTACACCCAACAGTGCTAGAAATAGATTTTTCTGCTGACAAATTTTTGTCCGTCCCTCAGCGGGATTCGAACTCACACCTTTGATACACTACAGCACCAATCGCTTAGCCTCATGTCCAGCGCTCTAGACCACTCGACCACATCCGCTATATTAAAAATATAACTTCAATAGTCGTAGTGTTACCTTGTCACGGAAGGCGAATCTAGAGATAGACACAAGACACGTGTTTTAAGCGTGTGAAGATGTTATATTATCATTTTATACACAATGTATATTTATTTGTCAGCAATCTAACTCAACAATTATTATATACCGTATGGGATAATGAACCAATTCATTATACAGTCACTAGAAATAAGTATATCATACAAACAAGTCTAAACAAGTGACAACCATACAATATATATGCCCACTGGATCTCAGTGTGTTAGAGATACATGGTTAATACATATATATATATATATATACATTCATAAAGGATTAAAAAAAAAAGATTGAACTCACTTTGGCAAAGTTGACTTTAGATGGATTTGATTATTATTGTAACATGTGTAAGCTTATTTTTTTGGTGATATATCTCTTTAAAAAACAAATCGGTTCTTACACATCATTGGCTTATAAATATTCAGTTTGTTCCTCATGAAGGCAAATCAAGAAAATGTGTAAGGCGTTCCGCGGAACATTGTCTCTCACCTACGATTGCTGCTGTCAGTGTAAAAGTGTAATGTTGGCTTAAAAAGTCAGTCCATTTACCAGTAAATTAAAAACAAAATGTTAATACATATTCTTTGTAAAAACTTCAACTTTTTTGGCACACATAGTGACCTATCTTGCTGAAAATTGGAGGAGATGGAGATCCTAATACCTTGGTCAGAAAAAAAAATCCTAACCGATATATTTATTCGTCGGTTACCATGGTAACAGGGAACAAATTGGGATTTTTTTTTTTATACAATTTTTGGTGTAGTGTTGTGAACTTATGCGGCTACATCTTTAAAAAAAAAACACAAAAAAAAATAATTTTAGTCTTTTTTCTTTCAAAAAAAAATATGAGGAATCTACCTAGAAACTTGTAATTAATTTAATTTCTAAAAAAATATCATTGCGCAATAATCCTTACTAAACGAATTATCTCCCTTTGGTCTATTTTGAACTCTTTATTGCAGAGGTAAAAAAGTGTTCAGTGAAAATAATATGGCAGAAAGCTATCTGCTACCAAACTGTTTTGCTGAATTTCGTGTAAAAACTCCTTGTAGCAAAATATCTTTTAGTGTAAAGAAATTAATGGGGGTAAGATGATAAAGTTGTTCTTAGATTTGGGTTGCCTGTTGTCTGAACATTTGTGTCCTGTCATGATATTTTTGATATTGTAATTTGTGAAAAACTATTTACATGAAGTTGAACTAAACAATCGTGAATATAGTAGACAGCTAGCGATCGGTTAAACGTTTAATACCATCCAGTTTAGCAGTTCACAACAATAATTCTTAGAAAGCAAAACCACTGTTTGAATGAGCAACAGGTCCAACATGTCTTCACGGCAAGAAGCATTGTACATTTCATTGGCCCAGGTTAGTATAGCTACAATTTATTATTTACATCATGTCCCCACAAAAAATAACAAAATCTACATCTACATAATACTTCTTAAATTCAATATGTTGAAAATTACAAAACTACAAAATTATTTTCTAAGGGGACAACCATTTGATTCTTTTTGTTGAAAGGGATGGGGGAAGGTGTATTTTCAAAATAAATGACTGTGCACAAAACAGGATGGCACTAAATATTCTGCAACATAAAATGCAGGATAGTACACATGCAACAGCTGTAATGATCAGTGTGGAAAGAAATCCACCTACCCCCTCCCCCCAAGAATATCAAATGGTGACCCCTAATTGGCGGTACTTGATCCCTCTTTTTCAAATTATTGTCTTGTCACAAAAAATCAGTATTTTTTATATCTCAGCTGGGCTCGTATAACACAAACATTTAAACGCAACAACCGAAAATAACTATATTTGCACTTTTTTATAAAAAATGTGTAAAGCGGCATAATAAATCAGTAAATTCAACTCAGTAAGGATTGTATAATACAAATGACAGCAATATTGGAACACAATGACAATAGATTTTTTTGTCAACATCAATTTACAGTGCCAGCATGTCCTCTCTTATTCAAAATATTGACTTCTCACAAAAAATCAGTAGTTCTGATATCTTAGGCTGGCTTGTATAACAAATATTATTTGACCGCATCAACCAAAACTGCCCATGTTTGCACTTTATCATGAAAATTTGTACAGCCGCATAATAAATCAGTATATCCTATAACTCAGGATTGCTTGTACAATACAAATGGCAGCAATATTGGACACAATGACTACAAAATTTTGTCTGCATCAAAAATGAGTGCCAGAAAGTTAGTAGTTTTAATATCTCAGGCTGACTTGTACATGCATTACAAAATGATTTGACCGTTTAAATCACAAACTATTCGTAACGAAAAATCAAGCTTGTCAATGATCAAACTTTGTGTTTGTCAAACTGATACATGTATATATCCAATGGAATTATTTCTGTAAACTTTGTGGTTTAAATTTCTAGAAGTTCTCTTATTTTTGTCAACAGGTCAAAGAAAATATTTTGTAAACATTTTATGAAAACTAAACGAGCCAACTCTATTTTAGTCCAAGTATTTGGTACCCCTAAAAATATATATTTTAAAAATATAAGTAGCACTGAGATAGATCCATCGTTCATAAATAAACTTTTTTACACTAAATATATGTACGTGAAAACTGTGAAAGGACACTTTCCAAGATATGTACACTGTCAACATGTTTTAACTTGCTATAGTTAAATTACTTGATTTGAAAACAGTTTTCTATTTACTGCTTGAGATGTCTGAAAAGGCATATACATTCCTTCTGTGAAGAAATTGTCTTTTATACTTTTAATTGAAATTTACTTCTGATACTATAGCTCCAGACCAATTAGTTGATCCACAAAATGATGTAATTCTAATGAAAAAGACTAGAAGATCAGCAAAAGAGATAAAACAATATTTTGTCTGAGAGAGCTTTACAATATGAGAGGTTGTATATCTTCGAAAAAAGATAACTCAGTGACATTTATTTCTTATAATAAGTACATGTACATACATGTATAACATGAACATGATGCATATCCACAAAATATGGAGATGTGATATGATTGCCAATGAGACAACTATCCGCCTGATTCCCTATAAAGTGGATATATGTAATTATAGGTCACCATTCTGCCTTCAACAATGAGCAAAACCCATACGATTTATAAAATAACAAAATGTGAAACAATACATTGATTACAGGTTTGTTGATCACTGCTGAAATTTTTAGACCAGAAGATAAAATAGAAATATATTGGCACCCTTCCAAATGTTCATATTTTGTTTTTTTCAATGATAGCTGTTTGTTGCTTAACATCATGCAAATATCTCATGCCTATGCAGGACAATTTTAACAATATAGAAACTTATTGGACAAAAAGGGTAGGATACAATATAAAGAAATTGGAAACCTATGAAGAGTTAGGGAATAGATAAGGACACTGAATTTCTCCTTTCTAATTTGTGATCAAATCATAGTTTTTTGCTTTTTTTATAAGTTTCAAGCTTTCTGATGACATGTGATTTAATTGCTAGCATTTTTTGCTTGACGTTGATAAAAATCATATAGAATATTTTAAAACAGCGTAGGCAATTTCACGAAAATATGCTTTAAGCTTGTACTGTCAAGTAAATGTCAAGTAAGGCCATAAAAGGCTATGTTTTCTTTCAGAAAAAAAACACTACTATGAAATGTATGATTCAATGTTCAATTGTTTTGTAGGTAACAACATATGCTATGGATGTAGCAGGATGATATACTTGAAGTTAACGTCATCTTAGTCAGTCATCAAAAGACTCTGTGTATTGTGAATAGTGTAGTCAACAAATCTTTCACTCTTGATGGTGTTAGTACGTACAGTGAAAGAATGAAACAGTGATACGTTAGCATCAGAGATGCAAGCAGTGGAACTGACCAACGTTATATAATTGTAAACCATTTTGAAATGGTATCTTATGGCATGTGTGCACAAATTTTCTAGATTAACAGTTACAATAAAATAATATATTAGGATTTAATCAAAATGAGAGCGTTATCCAAATTTATGCATATTATTATTTTGTTTTTATGGAATAATAATTTTGTTGCTGGCAAAAATCAAAACTTTTAAGAATTTTTTGTAATCGGATTCAGTAAAAAAATACTTTATATCATGTATTATATGCTATCAACATTGAGTTCTGTTTCGAATTTGAAGTAAAATTTGAAGTTTTTGTTAAAATGAATACCAAGTTGGATTAATCATCTTTTTTGTGCTGGGATTTTATTTAAAATTAATTTATAGGTATATACTTCCTTTTACTGTTACCCTGTCTAAAAAATTGTCAGTGTGCCAACTTTTTTTAGTTGGCTGCTAAAAATACATCAATATAATTGTTATGCTCAAATTTCAAGAATCCAACGCATCATGCAAAGAAAGTGCCACGCCCTTTGCATGTTAAAGAATCCTTATGACAATTTTTTCAGGGGTCCCTAAGTGACCTGCTGCAATTTCTGTCCCTTTAAAATGATCCTGATTTTTCAGTGATATTTCAAATTGTCCGCCTTCATCCCAGTCTACCACTATTGTAGGAGTTTTTTTTAAATGTTCTATTTTTTTTTTTTCAATTTCACCACAGAAATGATCTTTGTATACACACTCATCATACAATAATACAATACCATTAAAAATAGATAGCTTTGCATGCTTTGCCAATTCAACATTCAGCTTAAGAATTCATATAATTTCTATTTGTATCCATCTGATGAGTTAAGCCTTTTTTCAACTGATTTTTATATTTGTTCTTATTTTTGTACTGTTACGTCACTGTCCCAGGTTAGTTGAAGGTTAACGCCTTCAAACTAGTTTAACCCCGCCACATTCTGTATGTGCATGTCTAATGTCATGAGCCTGTAATTCACTGGTTGTCGTTTGTTGCTGTGTAACATATTTTTTTTCGTTAATTATTTTGTACATAGATTAGGCCGTTAGTTTTCTCGTTTGAATTGTTTGTTACATTTGTCATTATTGGCCTTTTATATCTGAATATGCGGTATGGACTTTCCTGCTTGTTGAAGGCCGTACGGTGACCAATAGTTGTTAATATCTGTGTTATTTGGTCTTTTGTGGAGAGTTGCATCATTGGCAATCATACCACATCTTCTTTTTTTAAACAGCTCATACTATAGGTATTTTTTTTTATAGACATAAGGGTTAAACGGTCAACTATAATTTATTTATAGTCATTTATCATAGAAAGGGGATCAAACTCCGACTCGTTTTGCTCCATTCATTTATTTTGTTGAATTATATAAAATTTTTTACCTTCAATTCATTTTTGGTTAGTAGACTATTGCAGGACCTACCTTTCATATTAATTGTTATTTTGTTCTCTTCCAGAATACGCATGAGATGTTTGCCACTGGACATAAAGCAAACCACAACTAATCATTCATTTTATTTTCAAAAACATATCCCCAATGATATTGATTGATTGCATTTGTATCAAAACATTTGTTTCTGTGCCTCACACAATAATTTTCAATCTTGGCCTTTCCTGACCTGTCAATTTTCTTGTATAAATACATTTAGTTTGGAGCTAGTGGCTAATTCCAAACTTTCAACACCAAATGGCAGTTTTATCTAATAAGTTCATCTTCATTACAGCATTTTAGTACTAGTTTATGGACCAACTGGTAAAAATCATCATTCTTGGACATGTGCATTAAATTGAAAATTTACAAAAGCAAGATCTTCTATGAGAGATTTACTAAAATCTCGAGCGTTTTCAAGGTTTATGCATATTATTTGTTGTTTCTATGGCAACACTATTACTAATTCTACCTGGAATATTATTGATATTTCTCAAAAACAACATAACCTATAACCTGCATAATGTAGGCAAGATTGTATATTGTTATTTGTATCTATGTTCATCAAAATGTTGTCAAAATAAGCACTTTTTAGTAAATATGCAAATTGACTGCTTGTTTCCATGGCAACACATTCAAACGATAATACTGCAAAATTTGAATATATGACATAAAACATATTTGATCTGTTTTCTCTGTACTGTTCCTGAAAACCGGCAGTGAATATTCTTCATAATCAGCACTTTTATCCAGATAACAGAAATTGTGTATCTGTTTCCTTGGTAACCCCATTATGAAATACTATACTAGCCAAATTATTTATATATATATGTGCAAAGTAAAATTTTACTTAGTGAATAAAATTGAGAATGGAAATGGGGAATATGTCAAAGAGACAACAACCCGACCAAAGTGCAGAAAACAGCCGAAGGCCACCGATGGGTCTTCAACACAGCGAGAAAATCCCGCACCCGTAGCCGGTCTTTAGCTGGCCCCTAAATAAAAATGTGAACTAATTCAGTGAAAATGGACGTCATACTAAACTCCAAAACATATAAATGAACTAAAATTCAAAAAACATGCAAGACTAACAAAGGCCAGAGGTTCCTGACTTGGGACAGGCGCAAAAAAGCGGCGGGGTTAAACATGTTTTGTGAGATCTCAACCCTCCCTCTATACCTCTAACCAATGAAGAATAAACAAACACACAGCTATACGCACATTAAAACTCAGCTTAAAAGAAGTACGAGTCCGATGTCAGAATAGTTAAAAAAAGCAACTAAGCAAAATGACAATGATACATAAATTACTAGTAACAAAGGACTACTAGCAGTAACTGACATGCCAGCTCCAGCCTTCAATTAAACTGATTGAAAGATTATGTCTCCGTCATATGTAAATCAAGCACAATCCCTCCCGTTAGAGTTTAGTATCATGCTATCATAAAACATATGGGAAGAACATAACCCGTACTATGCCAACAACTGGTTTAAGAACAAATGTGTTAATTTTCGATGCAAAGACCCTATGAGTGAATCAATATTATTACCAAAATATGCCATATTCAATGACCTGACAACAGTATCGTAACTATATCCCTTCTGAATAAGTCTGTTTAAAGGTTTGGTTAGCTTTTTAGGTGAATGCCGACATTTTTATGCTTTGTAAAGAATATTACCATAAAAGATTGGATGTGAAATAACTGAACTTATAAGATGTCTGCATGTTGATTTATATTTACGAATGATGTACTTGTACCGATGATAAAATTTAGTAACTGTTTTGACTAGTTTGTGATATCGAAAACCCTGGTGTAATAATTTTTCAGTAATACAGAGATTTCTTTCCTTAAAATCAAATACGTTGTTACATTCACGAGCGAATCGAACAAGTTGAGATATATAAACACCATCAGATGGTGACAAGGGAACGTCACCATCTTAATTTGGATAATGAACAATAGGAAATGAAAAATCATCTTTTTTATCATAAATTTTGGTTTTAATCTTCCCGTTTAAGATCCAGGAAAGGGCAGTGTTCATTGTTAGTATTAGCTTTATTTAAAGTCAGTTCAGCAGGATAAATCTCTTTAGTGTACATACTGAAGTCGTCATTATTGAGAGCCAATATATCATCCAAATATCTAAAAGTGTTATTAAATATTTGTATCAGATGTTGTTTCGATGGGTCTTTGCTGATTTTAGTCATTAATTGTAACTCATAACAATACAGAAACAGGTTCGCAATAAGTGGTGCACAGTTTGTCCCCATCTCAATAGCGAACAAAAATGTTATCTAGTAAAAATTCAAGGCCAGTTATAGTATCAAAACAGGTCCAATTGACATAGTTCTTTTGTTTGTTGTTACTAAAAAATGACCTAAAAGAGTTTGAACGTATATATTCGCATTCTGACTTTTTAAATGCCCATTTAATTAGGTGTGTGAATTGTTTCTTTATAAGATTATGCGGCAAGGTGGTATATAGGATAGAAAAATCAAAACTTTGAACAGATTCGAAATCACCAATATAAGCATGCAATTTATCAAGTACTTCCAACGAATTTTTGACACTCCAAAAGTAATTAATTTCACTATTTTCAAAGGCCTTATTTGAACAATTTATTACCAGGTTTTTGATTGTACTAAGTGTAGTTGTAGGTAGAATAGACAGTTAGTAGTGGAACAATGGCTTGAAGACGAAATAAATTTATATTTGTAATGTGTTTTGTGCAGCTTCGGAAGACAGTACATAGTTGGAATTTTCATTGTATTTGATTCTACTTGAAAAGAGGTAGCTAAAAATTTATTTTTGTTACAGATGTCATTTTCCGAATATGGAGTCAGTTCGAATGAAAGTGAATTCGTGATTTCCTTTTGCAGAACCTCAATGTAAAATTACATCAAACAATAATGATATTGTTAGCAGCCTTATCAGGCGGGACAAAAACAATTCCTTGACCTGTTCCTCTAGCTTATGTTTGATACGGGAAATAGGGCTATTATGGTTGTTGTTAGGAGTAACATGTTCTTTTAAATGTTGTTTACGTATATCAACTATGTTCATTACTGAATGAAAAAAAGAATTTAAGGATTTCTTTTCAGCTTTTTCGCATTTTATCCATTTCGAGCAGTAAGTACGGAGTTAGTCGTGGATGATCATGATGATGTTACGACACTCATTCCAATTATTAATTAACGGGGGACGATATTTAGGTCCTTTACTGAGGAATGATTTCAACTCTCGGTCACGAACGATGTTAAGGTCTCCTGTTAGTACATGGGAACTGGGGCCATAAATGTTGTTGAAGGTTGTTTTAGTTTTTCTTACATTAACGAAACAAACTGAAATTTATTTTCAAAATTGTTTAAATTTGTACATCATCATGAAATTGTTTCCATAGCAA